GAAACTAAATATTTTTAATAATTTCCTTAAATAGCTCTATTTTTATCATTATTTACACTCTATTTAAAATATATGTTATTTATATTTTTCAAAAAAATAGCTTTTAAATAGGTATTCAAATCATATTTGAAAGAGTATTTGACGGAATCTCACTATAAAATAGCTTTTAAATAGCTATTTAATTCCTATTGATGACAAACGAGTCAGTTAAAATAGTTAAATAGCTATTTTTAAACTATTTTTGCTTATCTTTTTGGAGCCATTCTTAACACATTTATTAAATAGCAAAATAAATAGATCTTAAATAACTATTTAATTCCTATTCATAGAAAGTTGTGGCGAACTTTGTTCAAAAGGCTATTATATAGCTATTTTTAAACTATGTTTACTTTTATTTTTAGAGCTATTGTTAAAATAGCTAATAAATAGCAAAATAATTAGATCTTAAGAAGCTATTTATTTCCTATTCATAGAAAGTTGTGAGAATTGAGAAAGGGTAAATGTATTTATTTAACTGGTCAAAATTTCCCAGTTTGAGTTAATTTTAAATTTTTTATGAGTTCACTGAAATCATATTTACAAAAATATTTATAGTCTTTGGGAAGATAGGTATTTTGTTTCTTGACAAAACACCACCAAAAATTCTCACGAAGAGCGCGGTTTGGACAGACCCACAGACTGGTGCCTAATTTTCCAACAACACGCGCAAAGCTTTCTGGGATAGCGTCACAATTCACACCGCCATATTTAAAAATTTTTCAGTTTAAACTTTCCGCTCGAAATACTCAAATGCAGAGCATTTATTGAGCGAAAGTAATATTTATTTTAAAGATTAAACATCGGGAATGACTGAGTAACATCCAGGGAAGAATTTTGTTATGTTTTATTTATAAATAGAGCAATTAACTTTGAAAGGAAATATTTACTATTTTCATTCGTGAATTTTGAGCACATGTTCCAGCTTAAAATTTCAATTTGCTTCGAAAATATTTGATTTAAAAACACATTAATTTTATAAAAGGCTTACATTTGACTCAGCCTTTATATTAAATGTTGTTTATTGTAATGCCTAATAGTATGCTTTGACCTTTGTGTATAGTGTATATGACAGATTCCAGTGTTTCTTGTATAAAATAATATAGCTCGGCATCCACTCAATTCTCATATGCCTATACCCAGGCATGTCCCAGGTAAACATGGTTTGAGAACATTTATCGACTGGTTTCAAACTAACTGATACTTTCATAAGTTTCCAATATTTTTTCATATATAGGTCCAGGTCAGTTTACAAAAGATCAAAATATCAATTTGATGTGTTGTTGTCATGTGTGGCAACTTGATTATAGACGTGTCCCTAACTGGAAACAGTTAAAGTCTTTAGTTTGCTTGTTCAAACTTATGAATACATTAAATAACACCACATATCTTCATGATCTGCTTAATAATATATGTAACAACCTTTGGGCTTCATTTTATATATCTTAGAGACACCCCGGCAAGGGTTTGATTGTTTTTGGAATTACTCATTTCACTCCAATGAGCCCAATATTCAGCACTTTGTTATTAAATGTTATCTTGCCTAATGCCGGACAATTTTATTTGTCAAGGGAAGTGTCTAGCTAGAGTGCTAGAGTCTGCCCATGTTTCATGTTGACATATAACACTTCCTACTTAAGTACTTTGATATTATTATTTAACTCTGACATTTCATGGTAGACAATTTTACTTACCGACTGTGGCAAGCTGGCCCATATCTCACCTAAATATTACCTATAACACCTATAAAGGAGCAATTTTCTCTTATATTACCTACTTGAAGTTCCTTCTAGGGGTGTGCAAGATAGAATGTTTTTGCTATCCAGCTACATACAGGATATATGTTGGATAGTTTAAAAATATCCAGCTGCATTCAGGGTATTATTCAAATATATAAATGTTTTTTCTAATCTGCAAAGAAGGTCTGAACTTAGCTGCAGCCGAGCTTCGCCCTATTCTTGATGTTACATGATGTTCTTGCTTTTCTTCTGCCCATTCCCCAGCCAAGTATATTATCACTATTTTTGAACTATGTATTATCTATTTTTAAACTATATTATCACTATTTTTGAACTATTTATTATCTATTTTTAAACTATATTATCACTATTTTTTAACTATTTATCTATTTTTAAACTATAATATCACTATTTTTGAACTATTTATTATCTATTTTCAAACTATATTAGCACTATTTTTGAACTATTTATTATCTATTTTTAAACTATAATCTCACTATTTTTGAACTATTTATTATCTACTTTTAAACTATATTATCACTATTTTTGAACTATTTATTGACTATTTTAAACTTTGTTGAAACACATTTCACCTATTCTAAATATTTTTAATAATTTCCTTAAATAGCTCTATTTTTATCATATTTGAAACCTATTTAATTTCTATTCGAGTACATCAATTAATTAACTATTTGTTTAGAAATATATCATGAATAGGAAAAAAATATGGTTCCACTTGGACAGGAAAAAAATAGCCTTTCTACCCTAATTTAAATAGGACAAACCTCGAAAAAAATAATAGTAAAAATAGGAAACAAATACTTTGATAAATAGGAATTAAATAGCCAAATAAAATAGGAATTAAATAGCAATTAAATAGTGTTTGATTCTACAAGGGTTAGATTGGACACCTGGATAGATAGTAGAAAACGCTTAGTCACACTTTTGGATAATTGGAGGGGGGGGGGGCAAACTCCCTGATGTGAAATTGTAAGACATTTAAAAATTGACCAGTAAAAAGATTAAGTAAAAATTTCCCTGAAACATACATTTGGCCATACAGTCATGCTCATAGTTTTGAAGGTCAGATGTAAGCAGCATAGTGAGTCGCATTCATGGCTGAATACATATTAGGTTAATTATTTTACATAATAATTTTTCGTCAGTTGCTACACATGTAACCGGTGAAGGATTCAGAATTACCCGGCATGGAAATGTATTTTCTATAGGAATGCAAATATATTCTGATGTGCTTCATTGACCATGACCTACATACTGATTGGTTCGTTTGTCTATATATACTGAAGTCCGTTCATGTTCGGTCTCTCACTGTTGTAATCCAACACTGTATTATTGCTTCAAGTATGACTGAGAATCATGAGTCTACATTTCTGAACGAAGAAGAGTCTACAGTCAGGAGCGAAACGGGTCAGAATACACAGTTGGTTGAACAAGTATTCTCAATGTTCAAAGGATATCTTACGTCGCAATTAGAAGCCAAAGATAAACATTTACACGAAGAATCCAAGATTGTTAAAGAGGCAAACGAGCTGAAGTTTAAAGGCAATCGAAAGCAGTTCGAATTGAACGCTAATCTAAGTCGTCTACTCAGTCAGATCGGTGAAAGTATCGACAGTCCTCCTGAAGCACAGAAATTGATTGAC